TTAAATAAAGGTTAAATAAAAAAATAAAAAATAAAAAAAAATAATGCTGCCAAAAATTAAGATAAATAATTGTTATTTTAGGTTTGAAGTATTTATGTATCTATGTTTTACATTTTGATGAATGAAGTGAAAACACATATAAACCTTCCCCCTATCCTCCCCGATGGATCCAGCAGCAACACAGAAACACCATAATCAAACTGAGATTTGTAAGTGATTATTAATTATTGATTAAAAACCAGGAGAACATAAAATTAGCAGATTCTTCAATGAAGATTTGAATGTATTGAATTATGTTGGTTTTATGATTCCTTCTCTTCTACTTTGAAGTGAAAACGCATATAAACTTCCCCCTAAAGTCCCCGATGGATCCAACAGCAACACAGAAACTCCAACATCCAACTAAGATTTATAAGTGACTATTGATTATTGTTTAAAGAAAGAGAAAGTGGTATTAATTAAAACAGTAACATCTCTGTTTAAACCATTGCTCATAAATCAATGATTTATTAATGCTGTTTTATTGCAGATGATTTACTGGAAGAGTCAGGCTTGCACATAAAATATTAAATATTATGGACCGTCATTTGGCCCTCAGGATACAGAACTCAGTGATCCATAACATCTGCAGAACAAGTGAAAACCTGAATCTTTCTGATTTCATATGTGCTGTGAACTTTACACGAGGGAAAAGGGAAGGGCTGCTGTCCTGCTGAAACCTGTTCTAAATATCACGATTTAAAGGTTAATGCAGCTTAAACTTGAGCTCCACCGAGTCCTGACACACCTGTAACAACCTGTTAACACCCTCTGGGACACCTGAAGGCTTCAGTTTAGACAGCTGCTGAAGGAAGGGAAATATAGCAGTGGATTAACACAGAACAACTCGCAGTTGCATGTTAATGTGTGCAGAAAATGAGACTTTAAAGGAACAGTGCGTGAGGGAAGGTAGAGGAGTCTAAATGTGTAAAAAGTGAACAGAAGTGAGAGATGAGATGCAGGTTCTTCATGCAAGCAGAGCGGCCCAGGCGGCTTTGGGGTACCGTCTTCAACATGGACCTGGAGGTTTGGTGCATTACAGCACGGCTCCAGCTGTTGCAGCTGTGTCTCCGGACAGCAGCACAGGCTTCTGTTTGTCCAGAGAGAAAGTCACCCTGCAGCAGCTGAATAAGAGGCTGGCTGCATACCTGCAGCAGGTAGGAGCTGCATCAACAGCACATCAAATGTTTCAAAGCTAAGCTGCTTAATGAAAAGTCGCTTTTCAGTGGAGCGGGTTTATTCTATCTGCTTTTTATTCTTTGATGCACGAGGTGGAAAAACTTAAACTGAGATGTGGAATTATTGTTTAAAGATCAAGAAAACATAAAAAAGGCAGATTTCTTAATGGAGTTTTGCTGGAGTTCAGTTTTAGTTTTATAATTCTAAAGTTAAAGTGGCATCTTAGTGAGGAGTCATCAGTTCAAGAGAATATAAATGTAGCATTATTTTCAATGGAGTTCAGCGTGGACTGAAACAAGAACTGTTTGTTCCATCTGCTTTTTATTCTTTGATGAATGAGGTGAAACACACAAAACATCTGACGGATCCCAGAACAGCAAAAGAAGAACACAATTAAACTGAAATGCATGAGTGGAGATTAATTATAGTTTTAAGAGGAGGAAAACATAAAAATGCCAGATTTCTGAAAGGAGTTTTGCTTTGACTGAGTTCGGTCTTAAGTTAAAGATCAAGATAACAGTATTTTCAGTTTTACATAGACTGAAACGTCTACTGTGTTTTTTCTTTGAGTTTTTGTGTGTTTCACCTCATTACTCAGACATCCGATGGATGCAACAACGGTTGAGTGACGATAAAGTTTATTTTTAGGGGCAGGAAATCATAAAAATACCCGATTTCTGAAAAGATTTTTGCCTTGATTGAGTTTATTGTTAGTTCTTATTTTCAGTTGTATTGGCTTAAGTTTTCAATGACGCACAAGAAGGAAACTGCTGACTGTAGCTTTCTAAATGATAAATAGCAGATTTCACCCAGTTGTACAGCATCCTTGAGATTTATTTTATTCCTTTGAAAAGTATTTAATGGTGAATTATTATGTAATCTGGTAGCGATTAGAGTGAAAGAGTTCGGAATTTGTAGTTTTTGTGTTTCTTCTTGTAAAACACTGGATTTGTTTTTTTACTCCATCAGGCCTTTAACAGTAAGTGGTGGACTGTAATTAAATACATTTACTCAAGTACTGTACTACATTAATGTAGCAGTGATATTATTTCAAAAACATCAGATACAACAATAAAACACTGGCTAGGAACATTTTACTGCACTGTGAGTACTTTAAGTACTATTTAAGTTATCTTGATCTTTAAAAAACATTTTGATGATAATCTACTGATTCATTTCCCGTGTCTTCTGATTGGTGGATGCAGGTCCAGTGTCTGGAGGCAGCCAATCAGAAGCTGGAGACTCAGATTCAGATGGAGCTGGACAGGAAGTGTCCCAGTGAGCTGAGAAAGCTGGACGGACACCTGAGGACAGTGTCCCTGCTGCAGGAACAGGTCAGGACAACATATATTACACCACAAATACACCCAACCAAATCAAAGCAATCAAATCTAATGTAAGCAGGCATTAAGGCCAACAGGCTCAGTCTGAGTCACAGGTTGACAGCAGCACAGAGATCCTAAACATTTGGTTGAAAAACAGCAGTTTGGAGTTTTGTTTCAATCGGACTGATAGTACCCGAAATGATTTCACTATCTCCAAGTTCCGTGTTAATCAGACAAACCTACGCAGAGATGATGCATCACTTCTGGAAACTGATATGTAAAAATAAACTGTTCAAGGCAACTATCTTATTTTGTCTTTAAACCAGATACAGAGCAGGTTCTGCTACTTAAGAGTTTGATTTTAGACTCAAAAGACAACTCAACTTGTGTTTTTACAGTGTGAATACTTCCTCCATCACAGGTTATATAACTCTGAACAACAGTTAAGAACAGAAGCATCTGCACATGACATACAGTTAAACCCTTTAGTCCTGGAGCCAATCAGAGACCAGGATTAAATATAGACCAAAGCAGGCCAGAGGCAGCCCTGCACGTGGACTGATATCAGCCTGAGGTGTAGCATCTCAGACCGGTTGTGACTCGTCAGGATGTGGCGTGTCTGTTTAAAGGCCAGACAGAATGAGACAAGTTCAACACAAATCTGACATTGATTTAAATGTCAGAGATTAAATCTGAACTTCAACATGTCCTGTAACAATGAGCTGTTTATGAAGGAAAGATTATCTCTGTAAAGACTGAAAGGTTCTGCCCAGAGGACCTGAAGTTAGTCTGAGAATGATGTGACATTTAATATAATGTGTGACTTCAAACACGACCACACATTTAAAACAACAAATGGTTTTCTTCCCTTCTGTAAATTCACTGAACGAATCTCTATAACTCTGTCCAACTCAGATCTCTTTAAATCAACACTACACTAATTCTACTGCAACTGTAGTTCTATGGTTTCTACTACCAGAGGGGGTCAACTCACAATCGAGTCTTATGTCATGGCTGTTAAATCCTGAATCGCTCTCAGAGTGAAAGACAAGTCCCAAATTAAGACTAATAAAACCTGAGTCAAATTCAAAGTGGAGTCAGCTTCAGAGTGGAGACTCAGTAAGTCCTGAGTCAAGACCAACAAGCCCCGAGCCAAGTAACAAGTCAAGACCAACTAGTCTCAAGTCAAGTTCGAATTCAAGACCAATAAATCTTGAATAAAATTCAGACCAACAATACCAATACATCCTGAATCAAGTGCTAACAAATTGTGCCCTAAGTCAAGACCATCAACTCCAGAGTCAAACCAAATCAAGTCAAGACCAGTAAGTCCCAAATCGAGTCCTAAGTCTAGATCAACAGTTCACAAGTCAATTCCCAAACTAACTAGTCTCAAGTCAGACCAACAAGTTTCAAGCTGCATGTTATTTATAACTTGAAGAGCATCAAGTCATTCAACTTCAAATGAGGCCACAAGTTATTGGTGTTTAAGACAAAATCAAGCTCTAAATCTTTTTGGATTCATGATTCAGACCCTTTTCTGTTACTACTACTCGTCCACTAATGCTACAGTAGCAGCATGACTTCCAACTGTCTTCTCTCTCTTCTCTGTCTTACTTACAGATCAGTGATTGTCTCTCGGCCCAGGCTCAGATTAAGCTGCAGCTGCTCAGTGCAGAGCTAACTGTCTTCGATCTCAACGTCAGGTAGATCCACATGCCTTCAACACACAGCAGGTCACACATAAACAGAGCACATGTAGATATATCCCATCATCCCCTGCTGTGTGAACAGGTGTGAAAAGGAGCGTGAGCATTGTGGTTGTCTGGAGGTGGACCTTAGCAACCTGAGGGTGCTGGAGGAGGAACTGCAGGTCCACAAACTGCCAGAGCTCCACAGTCTGCTGAACGATCAAACACAACAACTGATGGGGCTGCACGTACAACATCAACAGGTATATGATAAAAACCTTACCTGGATTATTCAAATGAACAAACTGCCTTTACGTCATGTGTTTAATCTATCTGTCCAGGACATGCAGGGTCTCATGGCCCAGATGTCAGGAGGGGTCAGTGTGGAGATGCATCCTGTTGCGTCATCAGACCTGATCCAGCAGCTGGACTATCTGAGACAGACAAGTTTGCTTGACGAGAACCAGAACGATTGCTGGTTTGACACCCAGGTGGACAAAAATTGACATCATGCTCTTATTTTGAAATAAACAACACACAAGTAAAAATATGAAATGTTCCGGAACCACAGTTTGTTTGTCTGTTTGAGTGGATTTATAAAGTGTACAAACATCTTATCAGGTGTGTTGTGTTCAGGTATCAACATTGAGTTCTCCTGAGGTGACCTTTGAACCTCCAGCAGGGTCAGAAGTCGTCCAAGCCGAGCTGGACGGACTGAGAGGAAGAGCAGCAAGTCTGGAAGAAGAGCTGAACAAACTGCAGGCTCAGGTGAGATTAAATTACTGAACTTTAAAAAGAGACAATTGATGATTCCCCATACTTCTCCACGAACCATGATTGTCCAATGACTGACCTAGTAACTAGGGAGCAGTGTGGAGTCTACTAATGTCTACAAACGACCAACACCACAACACCACAACACAGAGTCCAACACAAAGTCCAATGTCTAACATTACTTCTAAGCTTGTGGAACATATTGTTATATTGTGATTTTACATGTCTAGTTAATAGCATGGAGTCAATGGTCCAAAGAAAACCTAGGAACATTGCAGATATTAACAGTATTCTAGGTATGATTATAATTTGATGCTTGCTCATGCCTAAGAACTGTGTAAAGCCCTGTATCTGTCTTTCTCTCTCTGTATGTAGAACATGGTGTTGGAGGCGTCTGGTCTGGAGCAGAACGAGTACTTCGTCCAGCAGCTGGTGGTCCTGCAGCAGAGAGCAGATAGTCTGTGCGGAGACCTGGACTCAGTGCTGCAGGCTGCAGCTCAGCAGGCGGCAGACTATGAGTCCTTGCTGGACATTAAGATCAGACTAGAGGCCGAGATACAAGACTACATGAGGCTGCTGGATGGACTGAGCCCACAGGGGTATGAGATAATGATAATTACACAGGCCTTTCCAGGAAAATGACCAGGATATGAATGAGAAATGAACAGTCCCATAACACTGGTGATGCTTTTTTATACCATGGTGTGAAGAATAATATCAGCTCTGTTCTTGCCATTCTTCTTGTCTTTATATGTTGTTGTCCTATTGTTCACAGGGTCCCAAGTCTTCGCCCAAACTCTGCGGCTAACGTCGCATTTTTCTGTGTTACAACCAGTCCGTCTTCCTTCAGGAAAAACATCACAGTGAACAAAACAGCCAGTGTTCAGGGAGGAAATCTCAGGATGATGGATGTTCAGGGTGTCACAAGCCACATCCATAGATTTGGACAAACTCCAGTAGTTGCACCACTCTCAGAAACAGTGACCACATTCCAGTCAACCAGAGACCACAACAAATATCCAAAGAACTCACCAGTGACATCGATAAATGCTTCAAATCTGACAGGCTCATTCCACATGCCCGAAAACCAGAGAACAGGAGCTCATCCTGAAAGGACCGGGAGGGAATCCATGACCATTATTGCGACAATCAACAGGCAGAGCATCCCTGTGGTAGATAAAGTCTACCCTGACCATTACGATTTGCAGATTGTTAGTACTCAGATAAGCCAAGGTTCAGACAAAGGAACTGTCAAAAAAACTTCTAAACCGGAGACTGGTTTGCAGGCTAATAAAACAGAAACAAACATTCAAACAGAAATCACAGAGACCATTGTTTGCACAGAACCAGAAGTAAATAGGGACTCACATTCTGTAACACATACAAACACAACTAATCCAAGCACACAAACTGCTGCAGAGATAAAGAAAGAGACAGAAACTGTTGTATCAATTACCTGCACTAAGGGCTTTTTCCAGACTAAGAATCAGGATCCTGCACAGGTTGTGTCCTTGAGTTTGCAGACTCAAGCAGAAGCTGATGAGGATGCAGAGGAAGTTGCTGTTACAGTATCTGTTGTCTCTGGATCTCACATTCTTAGTTCTCAGGTGGCTCATGGAAAGGTCTCTGGTGACGTGACCCTGATGGATGACAAGAACATAGAAAGACAGATAGAAGAAGTTGAAGGTACTTCAGGTGTCCTCAGGTTAGATCAGAGTTTGGAATTGTCTGATGTATACAATAGTGAAAAAAACAAAGTCATGGAGGACGTAGACACAGGGTCCAGCATTGCAGCTGCTTCATCTCGTAGCCCAGACAGCAGTGACATCCTTGAGAGTGAAACTGCACAAGGAATTACCACGGTGGTTCCTGACACACAATCCACTAGAAGTGATGCTATTCAAGCAACACCTGAAACTTTTACTTCCAAACAAACTATCACAGAAGTGGATTTGCACGCTAATGAAACAGCGACAAACATTCAAACAGAGATCACCAAAACTATTCTTTGGACAGAACCAGAAGTAAAGCAAGGACCATGTACAACCACAACTGATCCCAGCAAACAAACTGCTGCTGAGGTATTGAAAGAAACAGAAAATGAGATTTCAGCTCAAATGAATTGCACTCAGGACTTAGAACAGGCTAAGAACCAGGATCCTGCACAGGTTGTGTCTTTGAGTTTGGAGACTCAAGCTGAAATTGTTGGAGATTCAAGAGAAGTTGCCGTTACAGTATCTGTTTTCTCTGGATCTCACATTCCTAGGTGTGAAGAGGCTCAAGGAAAGGTCTCTGGTGACATGACCCTGATGGATGACAAGAACATAGAAAGACAAGAAAAGAAGGGAGAAAAAGAAGTATTAGAAGTAGAAGGTACTTTGTCTGGTAGCCCAGACAGCAATGACATCCTGGACCCTAAAACTGTGAGTACAGTGATTTTGAAGGAAGTAGAATTAGAAGTGAACAAGGGGAAAGTAGTCAACAGTTTCCATGTTTCTAGCGAGGAAAAAGTGGATCCCATTGAGTCTGACAATGAGATGATTAAATTAGCAGGTGAAGAAACATTGGAGAGTACCACAGAGCATAAAAGGTCTACAAATCTTACAGATTCTAGTGTAACTTCTTCCAACAGTTCAATTGAAGCTCATAAATTGGTGAGCCCAACAAAGCCAGTCGCATGCTTGAGTCCAGAAATATGTCTGAGCCCAGTTGAGACAGAAGTGTTAATGAGTATGACGGATCAAGTATTTCGCCCAGTTGATCCAGAAGAGAATGTTGGAAGTCCTCATTTGCTTCTGAGTCCAAATGACCCCGAAATGTTTCTAAGCCCAAATGACTCAGACACCTGTTTGAGTCCAGTTGAGGATAAGATGTGTCTGAGTCCAAATGGTGAAGAAGAAGACGAGGAAGTATGTCAGAGTCTAACTGAGGCAAATATACATGTGAGACCAGTTGAAAAATACATTCTCTCAACAAAAGAGGAAGGTCAGTCCCTTTCCTTCAACAGAGATGACACTTTGAGAGAAGAAGACAGAAATAGAAAAGTCAATATTCCAGCGAGAGATGGGGACAGTTTGTGTTTTGGATCATTTGAAGGTAACAAAGGAAGTAGAGCTGTAGGTGGCATTGCAGATAAAAGAGATGTCCAGAATCAAGGTGTCAGTCCAGAAGGGAGGTTTAGCTCAGAGGACAAGAAGGACTTGTCAGATAAGAGGAAAAGTATGTCAGGAAGTATGGCTACTAGGAACAGTGTTATGGCTAGTAATCTGGCAGCTAGTTCTGGTGGCAAGGTTGTTACTTCAGCAGATATACTTAGTTGTAATGCAGAAGTTGCTGTTACAGCAGGGGCACAGGGAAGATTCAGACGTAATAGTGGAGACTGGATGGTTTATGGTGGTAGTCTGGGACGTAAGAGCAGCCTGGATGGTAGCACTAGCATAGCCACGGAGGGGAAAGAGCAAGGCCCATCAGTGGCTACAAGTCCTGCAACAAGCTCACAACAAACGGGGAGATTTGGCAGTAGAGGGAGTGGTGAGTGGATGGTTTACAGTGGCAGTAAAAACAGCTTACACAGGACAAGAAGTGAAGAAAGCCCATCAGCAGCTATACTCCCTGCAACATGCCTGCCAATGGCCACGCACCTGCCAACAAGCCCACCAGGGTCACTAGGAGCAGGGAAGCCTGGCAGCAGAGGAAGTGGAGAGTGGAGAGTCTATGGTGGGAGAAGTACCGGACGTATAAGCAGCTGGACTAGCAGCAGTAGCTTGCCAAATGCAGATGGAGAAGAATTACCATCAGTGGCTATGCAACTAGCAACAAGTCCACCACAATCTCAAGGATCAGGGAAGTTTGGTAGTGGAAGGAGTGGTGAGTGGAGGGTTTATAGTGGGAATACCGAACATATGAGCAGCTGGGCTGGAAGCAATAGGTCTTATCCAACCAGAGAAGAGATCCCATCACGTGGCTGCGGCAACTACCACGCAACAACCCACCCAGGATCACAAAGAGCCGGGAAGCTTTGGTAGATCGGAGGGAGATGGGGGGGAGTGGATGAGTTTGATTTGGTGGAATACCGGATGCGTATGAGCAGGCCACACTGGGCTGGAAGCAATAGTTATCCAACAGGAAGAGATCCCATCAGTGGCTGCGCAACTTACCACAAGCCCACCAGGATCACAAAGAGCAGGGAGGTTTGGTAGTGCAGGGAGTGGGGAGTGGAGAGTTTATGGTGGGAGTACCAGACGTTTGAGTAGTGCCAGTAGTGCAGACAGGGTCAGTGTCAGTGTAAGTCGTAACCACATTATAAGTCCACCAAGTAGCCACACAAGTAGTGGACCAGGTGGCCGAAGGCTCAGCTCAGGTAGTGTTGTGAGGCGTAGTAGCAGCGTAGGTAGTGGTGGCAAGTTAAACAGCTCAGGTAGTTGTGGCAAACTCAGCAGCTCATCTGAGAGCCACAGGAGTAGCACCTCTGGGAGATTCACTAGTACTGGCAGTGTCGAAGGGAAGCCTGTTTACAGCTCAGCCAACGCACGCAGGAGCAACAGCCAAAGAGCCCCAAGCCCCGGGGGGAGGATGGGTGTCAGCATGGGTAGTGGTGGGTGGCTGAGCAGTTCACCAGGGAGTGGGTCTAAGGTTAGCAGTGCCAGTAGCAGCGACAAAATTAGCAGCCGAGCTGGAGGAAGAATCAGCAGCTCCTCTGGGTCAGGGAGGACCAATAGCACAGGGGGGAGGGTCATCAGCAGCAGTGACCGGCCAATCAGAAGCACCGGCAGTGGAGCAGGAGGCAACAAGGAGAGGATAAGTGTTTGCAAGATGGCGGCGCTGTCAATCTCAGCAGCAGGGAGGGAGAAAAGTCGGGACAGACAAAAAGAAGCTCAGCGGCCCCAACAGCAACAACAGGCTAAAGGTGAGAACAACTTCACATGTACACAAGGTTACTTTAAAAATGTATTTGATACAATTACTAATTACCTGTCAAATACATTAAAAATAGCAATATACAGAATTGGGTTTGCTTACAAACATAGAAAATTGAAGTATAAAAATAAAGAATATTCCCTCCCTTGCAGCTTCCTCTCCGCTCCTCCAGCGATGGCTGTCCACTGGTGGGGTCAGTTCCAATCCTGATGGCCTTGATGACATGCGTCTCTGATTGGGCGAGGAACAGCGACATCATGCATCAAGGCTGAACACACCTGCACAAAAAAAAAAGAAATCTGATTTAATGCCAAACAATTATTTTCTTATTATTATTCTTGACATCACAAAATACTCCAATCATTTACCTAAAGGTCCAGTTAGTAACATTCAGGAGGATCTAAGTTGATTTGAGTCCAGTTTTTCAGATCGATATCAGTTTGTACTTGATGAATCCTCCACACACGCTAAAAGGTTAGTTAAGATTTGATGTTATATAAATGAAATGAAGGAATTGAATTATAGATTTAGGTTTTAATCCAGTGGATCGGTCCCAACCTACATCGAGACTCGTTCAAGGGAGGCAGGGAGAAAAAAAAGAACACAAAGTTGTTTTCATTTTTCTGATTTTTGTCTAATCTTGTTGTTTGATATTTTAACCTCTTTGGGCCTCAAACTGTTGTTGAAATTAAACCATGTGAGAGGCACTAACTAAATTCTGCTTTTCTGTGAGGGTTTAATCTTTAACATCCACTGTAAACAAATATCTTATTTTTATGGTAAAAAAAACTGGCAGCTGTGGTTATCAAAAC